GTTTGTGTGGAAGGCACAACACTTATTCCTCTTTATTCTCAAGAGATTTCTAGTGGAAATGGTCTTCCTTTTTAGGATTCACTCTATCAAGACAGAGTCTGAGCTTCAAGCTTCAAATGAGTATTTTTAAGCCATGAAAGAGAACTAGGGATACTGCATTCATATTGGCAGACAATCAAAATACATCTCATTTGATATACTGTCCTAGTTTTGCTATTGAGAAATTAAAGCACAGAAAACCAAAGAAACTTGTTTAAGATGAATCAGTTAAACAGCAGGGAGCAGGAGAATTCCTTCCATTTTTCTGCTTTAGCGTCAAAGCCTATTCTACCTCCTATAAAAGCAAACAAAAAGGCTCAGGCAACTATTAGATTCAGAGCCCTGCACAATTAGTAACTTAAAGATCTGATGAAACGACATCCTAAAGGCAGACAAATTCTGGAAAAGTCCATCATGCCTTCTCAAACATCATTAAGGTTTGGATGCTACCCTGTCCAGATGACACCTGACTGAACGGCTTTAAACTGAAAGAGGGCAGGTTTAGATTAGGTATTAGGAAGAAATTCTCCACTGGGATGGTGGTGGACATTGCAACAGGTTGCCCAGAGAAGTTATGGATGCCCCATTCCTGGAAGTGTCTAAGGCCAGACTGGATGGGGCTTTGAGCAACCTGGTCATGGGAACATGTCCCTGCCCATGGTTGGGGGGTTGGAACTGGATGAGCTTTAAGGTCCAACCCAAACCATTGTATGGTTCTAAAAGGACTTTAGAGCAGAAGAGCACAAACAATGGACAGCACAGAAACAAGGCTATAACCTATGAGACTGAACACTGTCAAGATGCCATAGGGTGAAAGTCTACCCAATTAAATCATTCAAGCAAGAGATGAGTATATATGTACTCAAGATTTAACTTAACTTATTAGAAGGTTTTGTTATCTGCTGGGAAAACAAAGCACAGGCAATTATCCACCAAACTTCCTAAAGACTCTGGACTTCAGGAACTAAAAGGATTACATGTTCTGCTGTAATGGTGTGGGTGTGCACAGGAAAGAAGTAAAGTAGAGATGAACTTTTAACTACTTGATATCTAATACATTTGGGACACCAGCTGAATCCCTTTAAGAATGGAGAAAGTCAAAGATACTGGCCTGCAGTATGAGATAGCTTACATTGACCACTAGTTTGTAATCAAGAGCAAACAATTACTTCTTGTGGGAAACACATCCACAAGCATCCAGCACTTTGCAGAACGTTGAGCCTGAGGCAGAACTGCCACACACAAAATCCAGGCCACCAGCCAAGACTCAAACACCTCAAGCAGCTAGAACAAGTGTCCTCTGATCAACACCACAAACTCAAAGAAACAACTCAATAAGCATGAGCAGAAGAGTGTGGGTGTATGCGAGAAATAAATTTAAGATTTTATGTCACTCAGCACTGTGCTTTTGCTCTTGTGCCTACCTCGTCACTCAGTTTCCCCTGCAATACAGAACACAGAATCAAGCAGCTTGACTTTCATCAGCAGATCCTGATGTCAGGGAGAAGGTCACAACAGCTGGCTGTCCTACAATCAAGAGTAGAAACCTCTCCAAGATTTGTATTCTACTAAGCTATACACTTTGTAACTTTCCCCAGAGTAAAGAAACCAAAGCTGTCTGTAGCTGAAAATGGAACAGAGCCTCTGTTATCAACAGCTCAAGATGATCCTTTCTGTGGAGAGCACAACATACTTTATTAATTCAGGATAAGACCTGAGCAATATCAGTCTGCCTCAGAAACACTTCCTTTTAAGTCACCTCACTAAATCAGAATTAGAAATATTTATAAGTAACTCTTGAAATAAACCTAAGAGGTTTGTTTTTTTTTTTTTTAAGGAATACCTGGAATACATCACAAGTTAAACAACTGAATAACCCCATGCTGTAACTTTGGTGACTCATAAGGTTTAAGTTTTACACTAAAAGCAGTCTGCTTCTAATGTTTTTATAGACTTCTCTCCCTCTCAAAGCTACAAGATCTAGAACCAAATGCTGGTTATGGGCACAGAATGGCAAAGTCCTGCCTCTGGCACACTAGTTACAACTCAGCAATGCTCTCCTCTGATTTTAACCCATCACACCTAGCACTGCAGACAAGAAAATTAACATAGTAGTAATTCAAATCTACATGCCACCTGTATTTCAGGTATTTGTATTTTCACAATTACTTTGGGGACTCAGAAAATTAAATATAGTGTTGATATATTGTCTTTATCTCTGATTGAAAATATTCTAAGTCAGTGAATTCTCAGAATATTTGTATCCACAGATTCTGGTTCTTCAGAAAAAACTTCCGTTCTATTGTAACTGTATCAATACTGGAAACAAAATTTAGCATCTGTGTGTTAGAATTCTCTCTGTTCCTCCACTAGTGGTTACAGAATTCCCATAAAGAAGAATGAGTGCAATTGAGAAAATTCCCATTCATATTAATCTGCTCTAATCAATACAGGGTTTGAATTTATAATACCCAAATTGCAGACTATTCAAATACAGAGAACATGTTCTGTAAAGAGGTTAGCTGATAAAGGACCCAAAGCCAATCAAGACTGTAACATTAATTTCTTCACATATTAATGAAATCTAAAACAGGATAGCTCATTCCTTGATTTTAAAATATTTTATCTGTAATACCCTTAAAAAAAAAAAAAATTGCTTCAAAATTTTTCAGATCACTTACTTGCAATAGGAAGGAAGTGAAAGCTTGACAATACGCACCTATACTTGAAGATGCAAAGAAAACACTAATATCCCAGATCTCATCTGCTGGCAGGCAATGAAAGAGGCATTAGCATTCCTTTACTTCTATGCTCTCACAAGAAAAATGCAGAAGAAAATGAGGATTGACTTTACTCCCGCTTTTAGGATTTACTTCTCAGTGGAATACCTCTTGACTGGCTCTCAGTCTTTCCAGTCTGCATGTTGTTCCAATTAAAAACATTTTTGCAGCTCTAAAGAGTAAGTGGCTCCCACTTTAATGAAACCTTACACATAGTTTATTGCTCGTAAAAACCTTGTCAGGTAAAGCATTCTGCAGGTCAACAAGCACTTTTTGGATGCGTTCCTATCTTTAAGCAACAGCATGAAATAAGCACTTCTTGCAAGTTTCACTCCTTCTCAAAGAGCACCTGTCAAATCAGTTTCACTAGGGTGAGAGAAAGGCTGGTTTTACATCAGGAAAATGTTCAAGTCTATCCCTTCTGCCTGCACACCTCCATCCCAAAGAACAAGTAATCATGGAAGATGCCACTTCTGCAGTGTTGATGGATTAGAGGGCTTAGCGTATCAGCTGAAGTTGAGGGTTTTTCACTAGTTCTTCCACAAATCAAGACCTGCACCTAGGTACTAAGAAGCATATTCACCTTCACCAAGTTACGGGAACACCAACATTTCAGCACAAAACCTCCCCCCTTAGGAAATACATTTTCTGTCATTGTTACTGTGTCCTCTCACAATATCTGTTTCTTGCCTAACAATCTTGCAGTACTTCTTTCAACTATTTAGAAAGCAATTCACACTCTGAGATCTTGCAGATGTAGTCATGGATGAGTGCAAATAAACAGTTTTTTATCAAGTCATCATTTCCCAAACTGCAACATCATGTTGCCCAAAATTACAGGTAAGCAAGCTCTAAACAAGTGCATTTTGATCTCTCCTCCAGAACAAATCCTTACTTTTAGGTCTCTCTTTTCTCATCTGTTCTACTGGTATGAGTGTAATTAACAGCACCACCCACACTTCATTCTTCATTTAAATCAACTCTGTCACCTTTTTAAAAGCAAAATTTATGGAGTTCAGGGTAGTTTCAAATACAGCATTAAAAGCAGTGTATGGTTATTACTGTTACTTATACTTTGAATTAAAAGATCATAATAGATATCATTATAGATACCATACAGGCTACTTCAGCATCTTCTTAAAGTTTCGATTTGATAGTGAAGCTCTAATTTTTTTAACTTGTAAAAGACAACCCTCTTAAGACAATTAACCTTATGGACAGAGCTGTAATGTTAGTGAAAGAAACAAAAAAATGTTCTACTTGCAGACTAATGTAAGCAGCAAAGGGAAAGGAAAAGATGATATTTACCTACAGTTTAAAGAGGATTAAGCAATTTTTTTTAGCAAGATGGCCTAAGCCTTCCTCAAAAGAGTCAGAGTTCAGTCAATTTCACAAAAACAGAGAATTTAATTAATTCCCTTCTGCCGAAAAGTAAAGTCTGGGCAATGGCAGTGTGGATTAAAAAAAAAAAAAAAAATATCTATGAGGCATCTTCTTTTAAAAATAAATGTTTAAATATATATGTTGTTACATGGCTTGGATAGTACCACATGGCTACGGCACCATACGGCTATGAACATATGGGTAAGTTCACTTTTAGTGAACAAAAGGAAGCAGGGTTACGGGTGCTTTATTCCATAAATTCATTCTGCTCATCTCAGTCACTTGGAAGCTATTAGTGAGACGGAATTCCTGTACCCTTTAGTGTCCCCCCGAAACCATCTTTTGGCATAAAGAAGCAGTAGCAGGTAACTACAGTATTACAAAGTTTATCTCATGAGCAAGACCAAAAAAACCTCACCACCCAAAAAACCCCACGAAGCAGCACAGAATTTTTCCACCTCGGAGAATGCAGCAGAACAACAAAAGAACACTCAACCCAAGTCTCTAGATTTGCAGTCAGCTGCTGTAAACTGTCAGCACCCTAGTAACCCTCTACAAAATGTTTCTATTAACTTGAGGTAATGAGGACTAAGCAGCCATGCCCTACATCATTAATACAACTTGAACTGACATAAAGAACAACCAGAACAGCCAGGACACCCACTAACAGAAAACAGCTTTTTTTCCTCCCCTCCTGCATACCCGGTTCGCACCAGACTCCTGCATGGTTCCAGCACATGAATCAAAACATTACTTGCATGAGGTGCACTAAATCCGCTTCAGATTATAAAAGGATACAGCCTTAGTGCTCCAGTCTGAGTCCCGATGGCCAGTATTTTCTGAACCGGATCAAATGCCAAGGCAGAAGGTTGATAAGGGAAACCATGGCGTACAGTCTAACCAGTCAGATCATAGCAGTAACGATGGACCAAGCAGCAGACCAAAAATAAACAGAATCAAAATCATATGTTATTCAATGTTAATCACAATTGAAAAAGAAACTACAAAGCATTTTAACAATAGAATAAGATCTGCTGTATTACATGAACCAATTAAAAAAGATTGTTTTAGTCATAATTACCCTTTCATCCTTGATTATCAAGTGACAGTCACACTTAGTGAAACTTAATTTGAATCTTACATTTCTTCTCTACAAAGACTATATCAACTCAGCATTTTATTTTTCCATCTACCTCATTCTCTGAGTAACCTTCTTTCCAGTTCTAACAAAGGTGCTAAACTATCAAAAAACAAGATGCTCCTAGGAAGTTTGGCAACAAAGCCAGAATCCTCATTAGAACTACTACAAAGAAGAGATTCAGAGCAGCCCCGCAGAGAAGGACTTGGGGGTGTTGTTCGATAAGAAACTTAACATGATGCATAAAGGAGCCCAGAAAGCCAACCGTATCCTGGGCTGCATCAAAAGGAGCATGACGAGCAGGTCAAAAGAGGTGATCCTGCCCCTCTACTCTGCTCTCGTGAGACCTCACTTGGAGTATTGTGTCCTCAACATAAAAAGGACGTGGAACTGTTGGAACAAGTCCAGAGGAGGGCCACGTGGATGATTAGGGGACTGGAGCACCTCCCATATGAAGACAGGCTGAGAAAGTTAGGGCTGTTCAGCCTGGAGAAGAGAAGGCTGCTTGGAGACAGTATCTGAAGGGAGCCTATAAAGATGCTGGGGAGGGACTATTCATTAGGGACTGTAGTGACAGGACAAAGGGTAACGGGTTAAAACTTAAACAGGGGAAGCCTAAATTAGATATAAGGAGGATGTTTTTTACTGTAAGGGTGGTGAGTCACTGGAATGGGTTGCCCAAGGAAGTTGTGAATGCTCCATCCCTGGCGGTGTTCAAAGCCAGGCTGGACAGAGCCTTGGGTGGCATGGTTTAGTGGGGGCTGGAACTAGACGATCTTAAGGTCCTTTCTAACCCTAACGATTCTACGATTCTAAATTACTAGACCTGCTTGTCTGAGAACCACTTCAATTTCAATCCAACAGGCCCATGACAATGCAACCTCTCTCAGCACATGAAGAAAAAAAAACAAAACCAAAAACCAACAAGTTAAGCTCCATAGAACCAACCTCTTACCCTCTGCTACCTCTCCCTCCCCCAAAGTAGACCCAAAATAGACAAAACTAAAGAACACCCCACCAACAAAGCAAAACAACCTTCAAATATGGGATTCCTGCCTAGTATGAAGTTATTGGCACACCTAGCTTTTGGGTTAGCCAAGACTAATTTGGAAATTGACCAAATGGTAACTCCATTATACCTCTCAGGCTGCAGTTAATCAGAACTGAGAACATAAAAAGTGTCACCTACTTTATTTGTTATACACAAAGTAAGCCACACAGATGCTACCTATGCCATCTCAAACCCTTTAGGTTAAAGCAGAGTTACTTCAGGACCTCACAAATGCATAGCAAACTTCTGATATACTTTTAATTCACTGAAGTTGCAGTCAGACCTTCCATCTCCCGTTTTTTCACAGTGAATAAAATCTAACTGGTAACAGTTCTGCTTTTTTCCATGCTTTTTGTGAACAACTTGCAAAAGTGGCACAAACACCTGCAATACTAGACAAAACAAGGAGGCGAATCCTCAAACAAGCTCATCCATATCGAGCTAGGCACTGTAAAGATAAAAATAGTTACTGATATTCGAACAGTTTTTATTCCTCCTGGTACAGCTGGTAGACTAATTCGCTGCATCAGTTTCTGAACCGTGCGAGCACAAACCGCAGTTACTGTATCACGCACAAACAAATAAAAAAAAAAAAACAAAAACAGGAACTTTTCTTCTGTCTCTGGAGCAGATCTGCAATAGCAGCATCGGCAACTTGGCAACACACTGCAGCGAAACCACCACAAACGTCTACAGCCTTTTTCAGGCGCAAAAGAACAGGAAAATGTATCTCCAAATAATGCAGAGCGACAGATTCCTGTCCTCTGGGCCCATTAGCAGAGGCTGCTACACAAACGCCACGATAATCAAGCCTGCACTACAGCTAGGTATCACTCCTTCCCCCATCCATCCCACTCTTTCTACGAAGCCTTCGTGAACACTGCCAGTATTACACGCACGAAAGAGCCTGGAAGACGACAAACCTTGAAACTCTCCAGGAAAGATGACTACGGAAATCCAGTAAGACCTGTGCAGCTACACCCACCCCTTCCTTCCCTTCTCCCCCCGCCCTCCCTTCCCAAATAATAAAATCAAACAAGTAAATAGAGCAGGCTCGGCGAGGCCGGTACCGAGAGGCAAAGCCCTCAGAGCCCACCGCGGCGCTGCGCCCCCTTCCCCAGCCGCCAGCCGGCTAGGGGCTGCAGCACTCATTCACCTTGCAGAGCTGGAAGTGCTCGGACTGGAGCGTCTCCTGGATTTCGGTCTCCCGGTTCCCCGCCTGCTGCTGCTGCGCGGCGGACGACGCCGAGGCGGCGGCGGAGACCGCCGTCAGGCCGTCCAGCACCTTCCTGATGTTGAATTTCCTCATGGTCTTCGGCGGCGAGGGCGCTCCGCGCTCCCCCGGCCTCGCCGGTTCGCTGTCACCGCCGCCCGCCCCGCAGGCGGCAGACGAGTCCCCGCCGGGGAGGGCGGTGCAGGGGCGGCCCGCGGCCAGGGAGCCGCGCTCTGCGCCGTGGGGCAGCTCTCCTCGTCCGCGGGGACGCCGGCGAGGCGTCAGTCCGGCAGCGCAGGGGCGCTCCTCATCGGTGGCCGCGGGCTCGGAGACGGAGACTGGAGCCAAGCAAACAGCAGCCGGTCAGCCCACCGGCGGCGCCTCCGCCGGTCCCACACTCGCCGCCCGCGCCTTACCCGCCGGGGCGCACGGCTCGCCCCGGGCCCAGCCGGCTCCGCCCCGGCCGCCCCTCCCGCTGCCGGGGCTGCGCGGGCTGCCTTGCTTCGCCTCCCTTCTCCGCGGAGCTTCCGCGTCCCCCCCGCGCAGCTCGCCTCACATCGTGGCGGCCGCGGCCGCCGCTGTCATCCGCCTCTGCGTGCGTGTGCGTGTGCGCGCTTGTGCCGGTCCCCTCCCGCCGCCGCAGTCTCTCCCCCCCTCACAGGCGCCCGCCCCGCGGCTCGGCTCAGGCACCCTCCGCCTCCTCAGAGCTGCGTGCGCTGCCAGCCAGTCACCAGCAGGGCTTCTCCCGGTTGCTGCCAGCGGCGGCTGCTGCCACCGCCCGCTCCCACTACCATCATCCTCCTCCTGCTGCTGCTGCTGCTGCTGCTGCTGCTGCCACGGGGGGCGCCTCCGCCACCTCACAACGCCTCACAACCCCTTGCCTGACAACGCGGAAGCGCAGCGCCCCGGGGAGAAGCGACGATAGCGATTACCACGGCGCCCTGCCTCGCAGCAGCTGCGCGAACGCGCATGCGCGCTAAGAACGCCGGCACCCGGATGTGGTACTGTCCGTTCCCCCCCTCACTGCTGCGCTCCGCGCTGCTCCAGGGCCGTAATAGCGTGAGGGGTAGGAGTGGGGCATGAGCTGGGTGTTGGCCTCCGGCCGGGCGGAGCCAGGAGCAGGTAACAGGTGGACGCGCTGTCCCTGCTGCTGGCACGGTGCTGGAGGCGTACGGCGGCTCCCGCGTGAGCCGGGCTGCCGTGGAGGGAGCCGCGGAAAATCCGCTGTGGAGCGGAATGGGGGGAAGATGATCCCCATCCCGCGGCGTTACGGACATCGTAGCGGGTGCGAGCCGGAGCTGGGACAGCGCCTGCGGTTTACCCATGGCGCGGCGTCGCCGTGTGGCGGTGGGGCTGGTGCTGCCGGGGGAGCGGAGAGCGGCGGCGGGGTCGGGGGCGATGCAGCGGGGCCGTTTCCAATGGCAGTAACAGTTACCGGAGGAGCGAGGCCCCCCATACCCCCTTCGCCGTGGTGGTGGAGCTGCTCGGGTGGCTACTCACAGCCAGAAGCGGCTGGAGGCGGACGAGTCACTGCCATCTGCGAAGTCACGATCAGTCCCCGCCGTGCGAGGCGAGCCTATGGGGTCACCACTGTCCTTCCATCCAGTCTTACTAATTCAGCAGGTGGCACAGAGTTATAGCATGTCTTTCTGCTAACCACTGTCGTATAGCATTCCTTGCTCTGCTTTGATTTGTGTTTTAGTACTAGATTGTGGGTTTGGATTATCTAGTCAGTGTTCAGGTAACATACTACTATTTTCTCAGTGTTTGTTGTATTATTAGTATTTGCAACCCTTTCCTGAACTTTCTTTTCAACCAAAAAGAACTGGAAGATCAGTCATCGCTTCTGGAGGGAAAACTTGTAGAGATGTGATTCAAGACCTTGCCTCACATCTTCCAGCTACAGTGTTAATGCCGTAGCAGTAAATGGCTCCACCAACATTAAAATTCTGCTTTTAAGTTGTGTTTCCAGCCTGGTAGCCAGGCGTGCTTTATTAGCACCATAAATGCAAAAGTGCACAGAGGGATCATCATCATCAAAATGCAGCCAAGTAGTTACAATACAAGCGATCATCATAACCTCAAAAGCAAAAGTTCCACAAACTCTTCTTAGAACTGTAACTCCATGTCAATTTACAGCCATGTTGCAAGCTGGTGTGTGATGTATAAGTATTTGAAAGAAACGAAGACGTTTTAGGTGTTCTTACAGAGTGACTGAGTCATGAACTTACGTGGCTGTTCCCCTGTGCTACCAGGACTATTGGACGTTCTCATCATCTTGGTAAAACGTGAAAGAATGCTTCCAGAGATGGCAGAAGTCCTAGAAATAAAAGACTTAAATAAGGTTCAGCGTTTCTGATATGAAAATCAACTTAAGAGAGAAATGTGTTAATTTTCCATATGTCTTTAACTGTCCATCATATATATACAAACATGCCTAATTATAGCTTTCATAGCAAAACTAACCTTGTTATTTATAGTAATATTAATCAAAAAACAAAACAAAACCACCTCAAAACTGAATGAAGAATTAAAGGGCTTTAAAAGCACCTTTTTTTGCATAGTACAGCCACTATGCACTTGGTCCTTGAATCCTTACTTTCACTGGACTGTATGATTTTAGAGGAGAGGTTGGATTTTTTTTTTCTGTTTACATTAGCACCTAATACAAGGAGAACCTCGTTCATTATTGCAAAATTGTACCAATATTTGGAAACTTTTAGGCAAAGCATACCCATATGATTTAGACAACAGTTCACTTTCCTCACACTTTCTGGTTGATGCCATTCAACAAATCAGTGCTTTCTGGGACTTCAGCTCTTTCTGTAAAACATTAGTGGCAGCCTTCCCTCTTACTGGGATGTCAGTGGGAATAGTAGTAGGCATTTTAATTTTACAGTGCTAGAGTTCAGGAGACATCCCTATTATCTCTGAGGATGTAGCTGCTGTATTTCAGAGCTTCTCTGGGGCTTCCAGCTCTTACCCAATAACCATATCCTGTTTACACAAGACCAATACTGCTAACCTCCTAACCTCATATTGCCCACTCAGACCTTCCGGCTTCTAATGTCTGAAGTCTCTTGCCAGTGTTTCATACCTCAGTCCAAAGCTCAAGTGTCTTGCACAGCTGCGGAAGAAGCAATCAGACCACTATCTTTTATTCCACAATGACAGAGTCCAGCTGTGATGGAGCCAACGTTAGATGTTCATGAGTCTCTTAGCCCCCAGAAGTACACCTTCACAAATCCCTGCCACCAAATTAATCCACTTAGCTTTGGTCTTCTTTGTCCTCCTTTTCTTACTGATCCTGTTATTTATGGCTCCTAGAAAAGGAGAAAGAGGATCACTTTTTCCTTGATCAGTATTGATCAGTATTCCAGAGGTACCACACAGGCAACCACTATTCCTAACAGGGATTTGAGGCAATGGGGCATGCAGCTTTGGCCTACATACCAGTGCGATCCCACAGACCGTTAGTTGGTGCAGTTGTTGGATATTTTGCCTCAAGATAGTAACTTTACAGATAACTGCAGAGTGCAGCCATCACTGTGCTTATGGTTTCGGTTTTTTAATTATTATTATTTCTTCTTTTTTGTGGCGTAGTATACCACCAGACTTAGCATGAAGAGGAAGAAGAATGATGGTGGTCCCACACAAGCCAGAATGAGTAAAAGCCCACCCAATTATAATGTATGCTAATATTTTGTGGAGTAATCCCAGAACAAGGGGTAGGTAGTGAAGTGACAGGTCCACTCACAGTCATTCTCAATAGCTTTTACATAAGCCCCAGAAGTGTTACCCATTGCATCCAGAGAAGGCAGTGTACTCCAGGTGATCTGCACGACATAATTATTGCACTACTCAGCATGAATGAGAAAACAGCCATCAGAAATGACCTTCAGATCTCTGCTTGGCCTCTAACTGCGCTAAAGCTTTTGACAGTCAGTCAGTCCAGGCTTTGAAGGCTAACTGAGATGCTTATCTTTCCTGAGAACTTCTTAATGGTGCTTAGTCACTCACAGTGCAGTCAGGATTGACTGAGCCCTAGCCAAACATTTCCTTGCAATAAATAGAAAGAAGCTGGGAAACATTTCTGAAATAATCCTGTTCAGGTTGTTCTACTCAAATATATTGGACAGGGCAGTGCAACCAAAGATCCAAGTGAGTTTTGGAATCTCTCCTGGCTGCTGAAAAACTGCTCAAGCTTTCTAGACTCTGAGCTGTTGTCAAACATCTATGATTATTTTTCCCCCACAATAATCTGCATTGGTGACAAATCCTGTGGAGCACTTCCAGCTCCAGGTGAACTTTGTGATATTTTTGCAGCTTAATTTGAATAAGCCATAAACAGGAAGGAAATTTAGAGTATGTGTCAATTAGCTGGTGAGCTCCTAGAAAAAAGCTGTGCTAGTACTTGCCCTAACCTCAACTGGAGATGAACAGTCTACTCTGTGTAAATTCACACATCTCAGAAACATCCTGATTGACTATGCCTGTACTGATATGATGAGTTCCTGCATCTAGAAGCCTGTGTGGTCTTTGGCAGGCTCACAGATCATGGGCATTTTTTATTAAAGACCTATGGAACAGCTCGCACCCTGTCTGTGGGTGCCACTAGGCTGTATGGACATGCATGGTAGAGAGTGGGCACATCCTACTCCTTCATACTACACCAAGATTCTGCACATTCAGCTCAGGTCAGTAAGAATAATGACAAGTGCATATGCTAGTTGCTGAAGTATGAATTGGAGGGGCTCTGCAGCACTGATCTGCGCAACTAGTATAGATAATACACAAGTGCCTATGTAGCTGTTGTGTGTTGAGCTGCAGCATAGCAAAAGAGAGGCATGGCTGTTAGGTAGAATTTAAGGAATTCTTACCAGTTAGCCAGTGTGGGTCTCTTACTACTGGCCACTACTAGTGGTATGTGACAAAAGGTGAATAGGTACAGTGCATTAGCAAGGGAGAATACATAAGGCTAAAGGAAAGAATGACAGCAGCACTATGCAATGGAAATGTGAGACTTGTCAAAGAGATTGTACAGCATCCTCCTTAGTAACTCACATCCTCCTTAGTAACTCACTGCTTGCATCTTTGTCCCACCATTGTCATCTTGACCCAAACAAAGGTAGTGTCAGCTATTAAATACACACAAAATTTTACCTTACCTAATGAAAATATCTGTTTCTTTTTATTTGTTGACCTATTCATATAGTCTCATCTTCACTGATGACACACAATCCCTTCAAAAAATGTTGTACCTTAGCTTCCGTCTTTTTTCATGAGACAGAATTCCTTTAAATAAAAAATAAGTAACACCAAATAAATATTTAAGAAGAATGTTAACACCACATCCTTTGCTTTTAAACTTACTTTCATTATTTGCAGCTGTGTCTTTAGTACCTAAGGCTATATCATTTTAGCAGCATAGTCTGACTGATTTGGTTCCAGCCAATCCTTTCTTTTTATCACTGTCTGAAGGAGTAATTTATTTTTCTACTTATCCAAATCTTTGGCCAGTGCAGGCACTTAATTAATTTTGGTTTTATGCTGTACTAAGAATGCACAGTTCTGTTTTGTTCATGCAGTCTGTCGATTTCTTCTACTTTCTGTATTGCATTTTACTTGAGCTTGGACCAGCTTTGTGTTAATAGAGGTATGTCAACCCTAGCCTCTACCCTAGTCTACCCTATGGTATCCTATTCAACTCTACCCTGCTCTGCTCTCCAGCTTCACCCTTTTAGTTACAATAGCTTCTTCAGTTGTACCCTGAAAATCAATCTCTTGTGCAATCAAAACAGGCAATTTTGGTGGCAG